GAAATCACAAATAACTAATAAGCAAAGCTGCCCTTCTTTTCACTTCTTTCCTTGTGCATCTTCATTAATATCTCACATGTGGATATTTGTATTAACTCTTGCTTACTCTTAGCTGTTACACAAGGGTTAAGATCTATTTCTATAAACCTAGTTAAACAAGGAACTAGAATAAATAAATACTTGGAGACTTTCCTTAAGGAACATTCCACTGGCAGAATTCTAGGAAGGAATAAATATTTCCCATGTTGGCTGTTAAAAACTAAGGTATTAAAGAGGAAACCCCATTATTAGTTGCATGGGAATAATTTATATGGAAATGGTGGTTGTTCCACAATTAATATTGTGTCATTATTTAAGAATATAGTAAAAATTCTAAAGCAATATTTTGTGACCAACATTCTCTGCATCTGTATGAATATATAATATTCAAAGGATTTAAAATTTCTAGGGGGAAAAAATATACCAGAATAAGAACTTATCCTGATAATGTTTACTTGAAAGTTGAACTTCACTGAATTCTCTCTCTCTCTCTCTCTCTCTCCCTCCCTCCCTCCCTCTCTCCATTTTTTCTCTATAACTGCAATCTATTAAATTCTAACATTCCATAGAATCATAAGATGACAATATGATATGGGGTATGGATACTGTTCACATGACAGCAAAATTATGTTTAGGATCATCCATTGCAGATTAGAGCCCTATATGAAAATAAATGATGCCAGATATTCAAACTTGCTTTAGTAAAGGCCAAGGAACATGAGACATTACTGCACATGCATGCTGAATAATTGAGAAATATAAAAATTCCCGAAAGAAGTCAATATATACTTTATTGATTATAAAAAGGCCTTCGATTATGTTGATCACATCAAGATATGGAATATGCTCAGAAGAATGGAAATCCCAGAATATCTCATGCTCCTTGTGAAAAACTTAGATAGGTCAAAAAGCCATCATACAGGCAGAACATGATGAAAGAGACTAGTTCCAGGTTGGCAAAGGATTGACACAGGGCCATATACTCTTTCTTTATTCAAAATATATGCTGAATAGTTATCAAAGGAAGCTGGATGGGAAGAAGATGGTGTGGTTTTAAAATTGGAGGAAGAAATATCAGTAGCTACTTGAAAGCTGATGACATTGCCTTGAAGGATCCTCATGTTCTAATAACAAAAGTCAAGGAGCACAGTGAGAAAGTGATAATAAAATGAAATATAACAAAGACCCAACTAATAACAACAGATAGAACAACCATTCTTAGGACTGACAATGAAGATATTGAAATGATTGGTAGCTTCTGCCTTTTAAGATCAACCATCAACAGTAAAGGAACTAGTAGACCAGTTGTGAAAACCTTAGAAAAGGTATTCCATGATATGTACATACCCACAAAGATCAAATGTGTGCAAGCCGTGATATATCCTGTGACACTATGGAAGTGAAAATTGGACTTTGAAGACATGGGATAGAAAAAGTATTGATGTCTTTAAACTTTGGTATTGGAGAACACTCATGAGAATACCATGGATAGTCAAGACGACAAATAACTGGATATTGAATGAATCAATTCAGAGTTTTCATTTGAGGCCCAAATGATTAGGCTCAAATTATCCTACTTTGGACACATTTTGCAAAGACTCAACTCTCTGGAGAAGGCTCTGCTACTAGGAAAGGAGATAAGAAAGAGAAAAAGAGGATGACCAACAGCATTGTAAATAATTACAATGGCAATGAGTGCACCATTGGAAGACCTGAAAGACCAGGTCTAACATCCCTGAAAAAATGGATTTGCATAGTTATACTCGTTACTTGTTGAACAAGATAGCTTTCACTGATCTAGTGAGTAGCATGCACTGTCAAAATAAGAGTGTTAGGAACACTGCACAAATGATCTGAGCACAGCTAAGGCTGTGAGCAAAAATACACAGAGTTCCAGGGAAGGAAGGGGGGAGAAACTACTTGACTTATTGTTTCATGTGAAGCCAGCCCTGCAACATGTTCCAATTGTTATCTTGAACTAAGTTTGCAGTTGTAGTGAACAACGACTCTTCTTCCAAGTACTACTGGATTTGTAACCTTCATTTGGTACAACAGACCAGTTTTAATGTAGTTTTATCTTTTCTGTTACTTGGTGATCATGCCTTTTTATTTTTATGTTGTGAAGTAGAGACACTGTTTAAGATAGCTCTTCTGCAACCTAGCCTTCCTTTGAAAGAGGGAAGGTATGGCTATTATACCAACAGGCTCCATTGTGATCCATCTTGCCTATTATTTGACCTGCCAGCATTACTTTAAAGCATTGAAGCTTTTCCTTTAAAGGCAGAGCTCTTATAAGCATATTTAGCTTGGGGAGTAAAAGAAATGTTTGATAGATGAAGAAGTAAAATTGTGTCCTTTGATTGCCAACTTCTCACAGAAACAGACATAAGCATGTTGTGTTCTTGTTCTTTATAAGTCTGAAAATAGAAGTAACCAAAAAAGAAGGCTGTGCTTATTTAATAAGTTCCAGGGAAATAATTAGGTCGACCTTTTTTATTTTCTTTTGCACATTCATATTCCATACCTAATTTTAAATATGAATCTTGATAGTTAACTCTTTGCTTCTTCTAGGGCAGTGACTCTAAAGGAAAAACTAATTACAGTTCACATCTTGCTGGTTAAGTAGCTTTTTTCATAGCCCAGTTAGATCTTTGCATGGAAGTATTTTGGTAACAGCAGCTAGCACTTAAGTTTATATACCACTTCACAATGCTTTACAGCTCTCTCTACGTGGTCCTTATTTTACTGAGCTCAAAAGGATAGAAGGCTGAGTCAACCCTGAGCCAGTCAAAATCAAACTGCTGGCATTCAGTAGAATTAATCTGCAATACTGCATTCTAACCACTGCGCCACCACGGCTCTATTCACAATATCTCATTCCTAGCTTCTCCTGTTGGTCTAATGTTTTATGAGTTCATTTAGACTTACTAATACCTTTACTGCTCAAGGGAATAAGTTCTGTTAGTAATTTCCATATGGAAGATTCATTGGTTGTGTGTAATGCTCTTGGAATAGTGGAATCTAGAAATTTATCTTTAGATAGGAGACATTCAAGATTTTTCAGTGGACAGTAGCAAGAGCAAGAGTTCTTAGACTTATATACCACTTTACAGTGCTTTACAGACCTCTCTAAGCGGTTTACAGAGTCATCCTATTGCCCCCAACAATCTGGGTTCTCATTTTACCCACTTCAGAAGGATGGAAGGGCTGAGTCAACCTTGAGCCTGGTGGGATTCAAACTGCCAAATTGCAAGCAGCCAGCAGGCAGCAGAAGTAACCTGTGGTACTGCACTCTAACTACTGTGCCACCTCAGCTCATAGTGCCTGCTACTAGTTCCAGCTGTTTAAAAATTTGTTGCCCATTATAGTAAGCCATTTAGTCATTATCTCAAGTTTGAGGCACATTATGCAGGGGTACCTTTCAATTATATATGAAAAGCTGCAACCAATGCAGAAGTCTATGTCTAGGCTGTTTATGATGGCTCTTCATGTGATACTTGTGCTGAAGTCTACATTGTAAATCTCTGAGCTTCTATGCCATGTTCCAGCTATCCATAGGGGCTTAAAGAGTTTGGATTAGCTTCTTTGAGCAACTTTCTTTGTACTGAAAGCACCAAGTGATCATGGAAAACCAGGATAGGCATAGCATTCCCAATCTGCTTCCACTAGACATCATCCATAAGTGCTGACATCATCATCCACACCCAGTTCTGACATGTGACTGAGAAGATGCCAGGATAATTTGCTTCCTCCAGGGTCCTTTGAAGCTGCAACATAATCACTTCTCAACAATCCTCCCCCAGAAAAAGAAAGCTGGAGATACAACAGAAGTTGTCCAACATGAGTGGACCCAACAATAGCTTCTTGAAGTGGGGAGAAATTATTACCTTCTTCAATATTGGGGGGACTACGCCTCCATAAATTCACTATTGCCAAAAGCCATCTGTACACCATCTCCTAGGAATATGAAGGAATGATACAGGTCCATTATACATTGCTGAGGCTACAGTTCCAACAAGTGGTTGTCCAACTGCTTCTTAACAACCTCCAGTGATGGAGCATTCACAATTTCTGAAGGCAAGTTCTCACTGTCAGGAAATGTCTCCTTAGTTCTAGGATGGTTCTCTCCTTGATTAGTTTCCATTGCTTCTTATTCTGTCTTCATGTCCTTTAGAGAATAAGTTGACCCCTCCTTCTTTGTGGCAGCCCCTTAGATATTGGAACATGGCTATCATGTCACCCCTAGTCCTTCTTTTCATTATATCCAATTCTTGCAATTGTTCTTCATATGTTGTAGCCTCCAACTCCCTAAGCATCTTTGTTGCTCTTCTCTGCACTCTTTCCAGAGCCTCTATAATAGGGATGTCAAACTCAAGGCCCATAGGCTGAATCTGGACCATGGGGTGCTTAGATCTGGCATGCGGAGTCACCCTGGAAACAGCAAAGGACCAGCCCACAGTGCCTCTGCCAGCTAAAATGGAGTGTGGGAGGGCCACACACGGCCTTCCTGAGCTCTGTTTTCACCTGAAGAGTACTGCAGGAGGCCATCGCAGCCAAAATTGGAGCTCAGGAGCCTGGAATGCTTGGTCTGCCATAACACAAGTGATGTTGAGTTGCCCATATCCACCCTGGCCATGTCCACCCCAGCTCGCTGCGGTCAAACACAACCCTGATGCAGCCCTCAATGAAATCGAGTTTGACACCCCTGTTCTACATCTTTTTTATATCATGGAAACCAAAACTGGATGCAATATTCCAAGTGTGGTTTTACCAAGATATTATAAAGTGGTACTAATACTTCACGTGATCTTGATTCTGTTCCTCTGTCAATGCAGGCTAGGACTGGGTTGGCTTTTTGGCAGCTGCAGCACACTGCTGGCTCATATTTAAGTGACTGTCCATTAGGACTTCAAGATCCCTCTCACAGTTACAGATTACATTTGTGAATCTTTGTTTGTCAGGTAGCAAAAGCTAACGATGATTTTGGCTTCTGAGGAAAGCGTGCCTGTTCCAAAAGTTCTTCTTAAAAGGCAGGCCTGTTATACAGTTTGTATAAATATTCTAAATATCCATATTAAATTATCCATTCAAGGAGTGGACTTGTTTGATTTCTCACAAAACTGTCTGTCACCCATGTGCAAGAGAGCAAAAAAGATTGTGTCTTTTGATTGCCAGATTCCTGACAAATTGGTATGATTGGAGAGAAGATGAATCATTTAGAAAGCTTTCCCAACTTTATGTAATGTATATATTGGGTGAGTCATTTGGATTGTACCAAAGACTCAAAACAGTTCTAGACTGAAATAAACCATCATTCTGTTCTGGAGTGGATCTCCAAAGTCTTCTACAAAGAGGCCGCTCGTAGCCTTCCTGTGTCTGGTTCTGGAAATAAGATTGCAAACACCACTCCAAACAAGATTGATGGATGGGAACAGAAAAAACCTACATTTCCATTCTTTTTAAACAGCTAAGTTTGCTTCTCCCGGTGTGCACTAACAAAGGGCAAATGATGAAAACAGGTCATGGGAAACTTCCTTGCAAAGGGCTATGCATCTGTTGTGAACAAATCTGAGCTGAATTAATGCACTTCTTTTAAAAATGCCTCAGAAAGACTTAGTGTTCTTAGAAGGCAGGAATGATGGCCATGATTCCACCTCATGCCATCTGACTGAAATTAAGCCACAGAATATTTCTGGATAGATGGTCATTAGAAAGGGAAGGAGGAGGGGAGATAGCTTTATTTTTTTAGTCTAAGAGCAAAAATTAATATTTGGGAGGAGTTAGAGGCTATTAAAAAATGAAGATAGATTTGGAGGGGTGGTATGTGAGATCTAGAAGGTTTATTTGCTGTTTTTTTTTTAAAAAAACAACAGTGTCTATTTTAAGGCCTACGTTTCAACTTCCATGTGTTCCTCAATTTATAATGGTGGGAAACAACTCTGTCATTTTTCAGTAACTATTTCCTCCAGGGTTTCTGAGATCACAAAAGGAGATTTAAAGAGAGCACATCAATCTGCTGGTTTTTGAGCAGTTATATCTACCTAATCTTTTTCTGAGCATGAGGGGAAAAAATGTAGAAGAAGCAGTGGAAAACCAAGGAGCAATTAAAAGTGGAAGATGATTTCGGAAGAGAAGACGCAACATGGACATTTGGCTTAAGGAACAGGCAGGTTTTTCAAGGAACAAATCACAGATCTAAAAGTTTCTTCCGCAAGCCTTCATTCTTGGCAGGAACCAAGTCACCAGCACATCTCTCATAGATTTCCTTGAACGAGAAATTCTACCATAACAAAAATCACCCAGAACTATCTATGAAGAGTATCTGTTAAGAAGAGAGGACACCATTGAGAGGCCCTATTTCTATCTAGTTCTACTTCACATATATTGGCCAGATAATTTAATATTTAAAGATCACCTGCACGTGTCTATGTGCCAATCCCTCTAATGCCATCTGCCTTTTTTCCATCATTTCTTCTGATTGCAGATCATACTGTGATGTACTACTTAAATTAATCTGTTCCTCTCCAGATGTGTGGATTTCACATATCTGCAAATCTTGGAAAACGCTGATTTAAAAGCATGTCTTTCCGAAAGTAGCAGATCATAATAATGAGAAGAGCTGGTTTAAATAATAGTTGGCACTCCTACCTAAGGAATCCAGTTAAATGAAAGCTAATTTCTTCACCCTAATTTACCCTTGGGTAAAAGTCAACAGTGGAAAATTTTCTTCAGTGACAGAAATATATTGTTAGCAAAGCATGGGGGGGGGGGAATAAAGAGAAATAACCCCATGTAATAAATATACTCATATTCACCTTTATATATACTAACAATATGTCTTTTCTACAAATTGTTATGCAATGTGACTTCCAAGGAATTGGAATACACACACACACACACAAAAAAAATGATATCATAATGTCAGTGAAACTTGCTTGAATAAAAATAGAGTTTCAGGAATTCTTTAATAGTAAAACGCTAGACTTTTCAACGTATGTCAACAAAATAAATTCTGAATCAATTGACAATCATCACACTGGAAATGTTTACATTAATGATTATATTAAATGATTGTATTAAAAGACAGTGAGTATATAATATTGTAAATTATAATATATCCAGAAAACTTTAGGAATAGTCTCTTTCTACTACAATGTAACCAGTGGAAGCTTTACCATTAAACATCTAAATAGGTACTACTGCCCCAACACCTTTGATAATTCACACATTGTGTTCTTTTTCACTATATGTTAAGTTCTCAAAGAATGTTATTAATTAGGGTCAAACAGATTAATTTAAACAAGGTTGAAGCATCCCAGCCTTATTTCTTCACTTCCCCTCCAAGGTCTACTTAAGCATTCTAGAAAGGAATGCTACAAAAATCCAGATGACCATTAGATGCCAACAAAGAGCTATAACTCAACTGGTCTTCCCAATCTTTTCAGGTTAAATATTTCAGCCCTGGCCCATGCCCATACAGATAGGCTAATAGCAGACTTCAAAGCCATCTTTTATTTAATTCCCTCAGAAGCATTGCATGATAACATTTCTTTGGAAATTCACCATAAATATAAAAAATCCTTGAATAACTAGCTGTACGCATACATATATACCTATACATATATATATATATATATACACACACACACACACACAAATATTCACATCTTCACAGAGAAGAGAATGTGTTTTCTTTTTTCCAGAAACTATGTATCTAAAAACGATCTATGCTAGTAAGCCCTTCATAGCTTGGAAGAGCTGCTATAAAATTCTTCTGTACTGATGCTAATTAGCATCAAGCCTTTTTTTTTTGAAATTTTTTTTTATTGATTTTTAAAAACAAACATAAACAAACAACACATAAAACATAAAAACATAAAACATCTTTTTTGAAAGCAGCTTGATCCCGGGTTACATCTCTTTGTACAGACACAAATTCAAATTCATGTTCATTTTATATACCATTCCATATCTTGTTACCATTCTACATTTTCTATATAGCTTCTCCCCTCTTTTAAATTTCTTAGTTTTATTTTATTTATTTCATCTCAGTTCAGATCATTATACTTATATTCTTTGTCTGTCCTGTTTCCAGCTGTCTATTATCTTTTCTCATTAAACAAAATTTCTCCTGTAATCACTGATTGGAGTATGATGCCTTTACATCTTTCCCCTAAATTTATAACACTTAATATAATACATAACTTCCATTCGGATTCTGCTTAGTACATTCTAAAATTACACACTATATTTTAAAAAGAGTAAAAATTGTAAATATATAATATAATTAAAACCACAAATCCATGTCAATTCAACTCTATTGTTAATATTAATATTCATTTAAATCTTAAACATTTTACACATTACTTTTCATATAAGTATCATACTTCTGTGGGAACACTTATAAACTTTCCATAGTTGCTTATTTTAAAACATTATATCATTGAGGTGTTCCCATTCCTTCCTAATTCAATTCTCTCATTTATTTCATTTCATTTATTTTGTACATAAAAGTTTCACTGAGTTACACTGAGTATTTTATCCCACTTTTTAGTCTTATGTTATTTCCAATCTTCTAACATAATTTCTAATACAAATATAACAATACAATCTTATGTACCTTTGCAGAATCATCTTTTCAGTTAGATTTTTACCCATTATCTCTAAATAAATCCTGTTTCTTTACATCTTTCCCTTATTTTCCCTTATTCTTTTATTTTTAGTTTCCCTTATTCTTTTATTTTTCTTATATGTACCCATTTCATGTATTCACAACTATGTATACACTTATACTTATTATCTTGTAAACAATTGGCAAATCAAATAAATAAATAAATAAATAAATCTTGTTTCACACCTTTGTAGCTTCTCTTCCCTTCCTTCCTCCCTTCCTTTTTCTCTCTGCCCTTTTTACCCCCTTGTCTCTCCACCTCCATTTCCCTCTTCTGTGTTCCTTTTTTCTGTTGCTTTCTAGCCTTATATCCACTTTGCACCTTATTTTTCCCTTTTTTGGTTGTTTTTTGGGGTCTTAAAATCTCCATTCTCTTTCCCCCCCTTTGCCCTTTCTTCCCTAATTGAAGTTACTTGTTCATCAAAGATGGCTTCTTCTTTGTCCCAACCTTCTTGTTGCGCAGTCAGTTTTTCATAGGTACAAATCGCCATTTCTAAGAAGTGAAAAACAGAGCCAAAAGAGCCCTTCCCTTCTTGTTCCTCTTCTTTATATTTTTTGAATTCCATTTTCAATTCATCCAGAAGCGATGCCATTGTAAAAAAAAAATTTTTTTTCAAACAACCACCCAAGTGTTTTTAATCATTTAGATATAATTTCCAAGAGTCCCAAAGTCACCAAGCAATCCAAATACACACAAACTGTTTCTTTTAGCACTTTCTTCTTTTTTAACTTTCTCTTCCTGGGGCTATTTAGTTACAAAGTTCCAGTTAAGATGTATCTTTTAGAAGTCTTGTTAGAATTTAATCAGATTCTTGTAAATTCCAGGCAGTCTCCTCCTTCCAAATCTTATTTTTATTCTTTTCCTCTCCCTTCCCACTTACAGCCAGAAGAAGAAAAAAAATTTTTAATATTCAGAAATTCTTATTGTCCCCTTGACATTTAATTATCCAGTTTAAATACCTCTTAATGCCAAAGCGAGTTTTTCCAATTCCTCATAAGTTCGCTGTCAACGTAAGGAAGGAGAGTGAAGAAAAAAAGACTTTCCCTTTTAACTTTCATTCGCCACTTCCGAGTCTTCTTACGGAGCGATGTATCTTTTACAAAATTTAAATTCCAGTGTACCTTAGTTGTTGCTTTTGTCCCGGTCAGCCAAAAACTTTCACTTCTTAACTTCCTCCTGCACTTTCTTTTCCGGCTGAGTGCTTCTTTGAGGCGGCCATTTCTGACCGCCGCTCTTACCGCCTTCAAAAAAGTGAGTTTATCCGGCTTGGGGGGGGGGGCGATTCCTCTCGACCCTGCCAGATCTCCCATATCTTCACCAAC